ACAAAAAATCTTCAAGGAAGGTAGCTAAAGCTAATTTCAGAACAAATCATTCTTAAATTTATTAACACTTTTATGACAGTTCTTCATGCCAAGGTTATGGCGCAGAAATCAAAGTGTCAACACTATATGGAGCACAAATCTAGACATTTGGAGGCTGTAAAAAAAATAGCAGATTCAAAAACCCTGAATTCAGGATCTGGCTTTTGATAGGTACTCAGTAAATATTTTGAGAAAATGCTTACATTAACAGTCTTATAAAAGTTTTTGAACAGGTAGGGTGAGCAAGTCTGACTCTATATTCTGCATACTCTCTGTGAACACTGAGCATTCTCATGGTATTTGCAACCATCTGTAAGCTGATGTCTCCCCAGTGTATAATGGCCACTAACATCCAGATTCCTATAGCCATGTGTCTATTGAATATGTCCACTTGGATATCCCACCAGCGTCTCAAACTCAATATTCCAAAATTAAGCTTCTTCTTTCTACCCCAAATATATTCCTTCTGTATTTTCTTAACTTAGGTAAGTATACCACTCAAGGCAGTAACTGGAGTAGCATTCCACACATCTCTCTTACACTCATCATCTAATAGATCCTACTCATTTTACCTACCACATATTTTTGAAACTGTACCCTACTTTTCACCCATCACTACCCTAAGGCATTAATCATCTCTCACATGGACTATTGCAATAGTATGAGTCTATTTGTAGTTTTGTTCCCTCGAGTCCATACTACTTTATCTAAATGTCAATTCCGACCGTATTTTTTTCTTAGCTTAAAATATCACAGTGGAATCTCTTAATCTCCAGGATAAATTCATCCATAAGCTATATGTTTTATATGCCTCTCCAGCCCATTTTACTTTACTTATTATATGCTTGATTACCATAAAAATACTAAACACTGTTTCCCTATATACCCCATGTTGCTAAGCCTCTCCATGTGTTTGTTCTTGGTTTTTCTTCTGCTTGCCTACTCATCTTTTCACACTGTTCCCACTCATCTTTCAAGATTTATCTTAGGCATCATATCTCACTAACATTTTTTTTATTATTTTTTGCCATTCTACTATGGGTTAGGTAGATATTTTTGCATGCTCCTATAATAAAACTTCTCACATTGTTTGGAAATGATATGTTTTCATTTCATCCTCCTACTCTTGATTGTGAGCTTATCAATGACATAGAGTTACCCATGAGCCCTTATCACAGTGCCTTGCACATGGAGTATTCAGTAAAGGATTTCAATGATATAAACTAAATATATATAGTACATCTATAGGAACCTAAATGAAGTAACAAAATTTAAAGTCTCATACTAGATTCTCCACTGGCTGTCTTGTTAACTGTGCCATTCATTTGCAAATGGGGCCAAGGAGATAAGAGGTAAATAACAAGCCTTCATAGTTTTGTTTCTAAAGTGACTGACATTGTTACTTAGAGAGAAGTTTAATGGAAATAGGAGCTCTGGAATCAGAGAGGTCCAATTTCTAATCTTAGGTTTCCCGCGCGATGTGAGATTGGGCGATTGACACTGATCCTCAATGCCTGTCTCTTTGGAATGAGGATAAAAGCACCTACTATGTAGGGTAGAGTTAAGAATTGAGGATCCTCTTTCCTTTCGGCATGCCACTGAAGATCCTTGTGTCGCTATGGGTTGCTGCCCAGCCCGTTGTTACCAATATTGCAAGAACAAGCCATACCAAAGTCTCGCTTCTGCCGAGGTGTCCCTGATGCCAAGATCCGCATCTTTGACCTGGGGCAGAAGGCGAAAGCGGACGAGTTCCCACTCTGTGGCCACATGGTGTCAGATGAATAGGAGCAGCTCTCCTCCGAAGCCCTGGAGGCTGCCTATATTTGTGCCAAGTACATGGTGAAAAGCTGTGGCAAAGATGGCTTTCACGTGTGAGTGCGGCTCTACCCCTTTCACGTCATCCGCATCAACAATACCTGTCTGGAGCCTGTGCTGGGGCTGACAGGCTCCAGACAGGTATGCGGGGTGCCTTTGGAAAGCCCCAGGGCACAGAGGCCAGAGTCCACATTGGCCAAGTCAACATGTCCATCTGCACCAAGCTGCAGAATAAGAAGCATGTGATTGAGGCCCTACGCAGAGCCAAGTTCAAGTTCCCTGGCCGCCAGAAGATCCACATCTCCAAGAAGTGGGGCTTTACTAAGTTTAATGTGGATGAGTTTGAAGACACGGTGGCCAAGAAGCGTCTCATCCCAGATGGCTGTGGGGTCAAATACATCCCTAATCGTGACCCCCTGGATAAATGGCTGGTCCTGCACTCCTGAGAGTCTTGGTGCTGTCCCCATCTTACACCCACCAATAAATCAACTTTCTATTCCCCCCCCACCCCCCAAAAAAAATATTGAGGATAGTGCCCTGGCTGGGTAGCTCAGTTGGTTAGAGTATTATCCCCATAGTTTAAAGACCCCTTTGAGTGACCATCAATAGTTCTATTCTATTAATATTCTTTTAATTTATGCTATAGAGAAGTATTCTGGTTGTGCAACCCAGTTCATAAACAAGCACAAAATATTTTCTTTTTTTTAATTATAGTTCATTTTATTTATTTTTTTATTTTATTTTTTATTGCTTAAAGTATTACAAAGGGTATTACATATGTGTCCTTTTATTTTTTTCCCCAGCCCTTGACAATCCCCTGGCCTCCCCTACCCCCCAGTGTCTTATGTCCATTGGTTATGCTTATATGCATGCATACAAGTCCTTCGGTTGATTTCTTACCCCTCTCCCTCCTGCCCCCCAACCCTCCCCGGCCTTCCCGCTGCAGTTTGACAATCTGTTTGAGGCAGCTCTGCCTCTGTATCTATTATTGTTCATAAGTTTATAATGGTCTTATTATCCATGAATGAGTGAGATCATGTGGTATTTTTCCTTCATTGACTGGCTTATTTCACTTAGCATAATGCTCTCCAGTTCCATCCATGCCATTGCAAATGGTAAGAGTTCCTTCTTTTTTACAGCAGCATAGTATTCCATCGTGTAGATGTACCACAGTTTTCTAATCCAAAATATTTTCTGTTGACATGTGCAATGCCATTCAATGATTGGTGGTTCACAAGGGATTCTCTTCTGAGGTATTATCTTTGGTAAAATAAAGGCTACTCATGTGGTTTGGTCCAATGCTTTACCTCCTCTAACCAAGTCTTTAAGTGTTTCCCTCTCTTCTTTATGGCCTAGACCTAAAGTTACTTCTGTATATACTGTCTGCTTCCCTTCTTTCTCGCACTAATGTGTGAGCTCTATGAGGTGGGACCCATGGATTATTAATCTCTATATGCCCAGGACAAAGCCCATTGCCTAGAATGTAATAGGTGCTTAATTCATGTCTACTGAATAAGGTAATTTATTCCAACCATTCGACTTGATTTAATGAGCCATTTTCACTCAAAAATTAGATACTTTGAACATCTTTGAAGAGGAAAAAATTAAGAGGAAGGCCTCAATCCCAGGACTAATAATGATTTTAATTGTTTTGTTTTACTTAATACTAATTTTGAGACAGCAGGAAAAGAAACTTTTTTAAAAAGTAACCATACCAAGGCAAACAAGTCTTCTGATAGTAACTTTATTACTGACTATTGAATACCAAAAATGGATGAAGCAACATCATCTCAGGCTCCAATTTTACAAGTAAAAAAAGGTAATAAAGATAAACTTTAAGAGTTGTGGGGCCCTGCAATCTCTACTGGCAGTTATTTTCTACTGACAAGGCTTGTGATGTTGTCAGTCAGTTAAGTAAGTCTCAGTTACCTCGTTAGGCAACTGGGTACCACAGTGCCTCTTTACCCACAGGCTTAAATGATAAGCAAAACAGATTATTCTGTGAAGCATGTTGGCTTTGAAAACTGTCATTCAAATATAAAGGCTCATTTTGATGAACCATGGAGTACACTGATGTTGAAAATCACATAGCTTATTTTAGATGAAACATCTGGTACCTTCCAGGTCTGGGGAATTGCCAATTCTGATGCAAAAGCTGTCTGAGCCACCCTGCACAATTAAGCAACTCAATACTGACTCTCAAACTTCAGCCTAATGGTCATAGAAACCTCTCATATCAAAGGAATTTCTTTTCTTTTTTGGCATCACCAGTCTCTAATATCCGGGGGGGGGGCAAAAAGTAGGTTTACAGTTGTGAGTACATGAAACAGAGTTTATTCTCATATTATTATTTTATTCATAATTGTATTATTTATTTGTATTCTTTGTCTTCTCCTTATTATTATTAATATTATTTCATATCTTTACTTATGGCTTATCTTTTAGGTAATGTTGGCTGGTAATTTAACCTACTTTTGCCCATTCCTGTACGTAATGTTCAGACATAGTACCACTTAATGAAGGTTTTATTTTTAATGACAAGAATACATTTTTGAAAAGACTGATAATTGAAGGCAACACATTATAATCGCTAAAAATGTGGGTTCAAAACTTAGACCGCTTGTGTTCAAAATCCTTGATCAATTTATTTAATCCTTACAATCTTAGGTTTCTTCTTCAGAAAAAAATGGATATACTAGTAATAACAACAGGGCCTCTGCCACAGGGTTGTTGCCAGAATTCAACTTAAATAATGTTACTTAAATGTAAGTAACATTCTACCTGTCTAGCCCATGGTAAACACCAAATAAACACTAACGTACTTATCTTCATCTTTTTCTTGATGCTAGGGATTGTATTGCTTTTACCGTTGACTATTAAATCTGATAAACTCCCGGATTAATAAATAATGTATAAGGGCAGATCACATGTGCTTTAACTAAGAAATAACAGAAAGGTCTCCAGTCTTATGCATATACCATCACAATCATCTATTAAGTATCATGGGGCAGCCATTGAAGTGAAAAGCAGGAGGCCCTGTTTTGGCGTGGGGCGACCCTCTGCAGCCACAGCTCTTCCTCAGCCTGGCCAGTTAAGCATACAATCACATCTCTCTGTTTGCTCCTGTCCTTGTTCATGCATACCAGGTACAAAGACAGGAGACTGGCCCAGCACAAGTCGGAAATAGAGTGTTTCACCCCCAAAGGGAGTATGGGGAATGGTGGGAGAGCAACAATGAGCAGGTAAGCAAACTGTGAGTGGCCTGAGGTGGTGTGAGCTACATGTGTGCAAGCTAGAGGAACAGGTGGCTCCCTGGTCTGGGTCGTCACTCAACTGTGCACCGCATACAGTGTGTCCAACCTGGGCCATCGCTGGTTTTCTGTGTGTGTTTGATTTGCAAAACCCATACCATCTTCATGTGAAGTGATGGGAGCCTCCTGTCCCAGGTGCTGCTGTTTCCCAGGGCTGCGCGCTTTGCATGTCTGAAGCCTTACCTCACAGTTCTCCCACGGATCTTAATGTATTGGTTAATTGCTTCTGGAGTTTGCAAAGTGGAAGAGCTTGGAGGAGATTCACATTTCGGGATTATCCAATTACTTAGGAAAACAAATGCAAAAGCCTAACACTGGTTTTGAGAGAAGAACTACAATTGAGGGAAGATGCCAGCTCCTAATCCCAGACAAGCCTGGGAATTAACCTGACTTCTATTGAACATAACAACATCAACTCACAGAGAAGGGCAAATGCCATGCCAAACTAGTGAACTATGGAGGCAAGAGGCTTTTCGTGAACTGAAATCAGGAAAGCTAGTCCTACTCTAGCTACTGTAGCTTTGCATCTCCTTTACTTCTCTGTGTTTGGTGGCAAGCACTCCCTGTTGCTGCGCTATGCATGTTCCGTCATACCAGGCACTCCCCCCTGAGCTGTGCCCAGTAAACTGGGGTATTTGTAATTAGAAGCATCGACTAAGCTGTGTTGCATGAAATAAATGTGCTTTATTGCATGCGACTGGGTTTCAGGAAAAGGGTTCTGGAGATAAAAACCGTCAAGATTGGCATTAAACAGTTCCAAAATGCTGGAGGAGCCTAGAAGTTAGGAAATCACTCACCATGAACGTACTCTCCACCTCTAATTTGTTGTGGCCCTTCCCAATCCACCTGGGAGGTGTGGAAGGGAAGCTCTTGGAAATCACCCTGGATTAAAGGAAAGGGAAGTGCAGAAAGCAGAGTATATACCTGTGTGTGTGCATGTGCTGAGAGCAGAGCTTGAGAGCCAGCTGTATAGCAAGAACTTATCCTGTTGACCTTTTACCCCAAATGTTGCATTTGCTTTCTAGAAGGGGCTCCTTCAGGTTTTCAAAACAATTTCTAATTTTCTCCAAGGACCACTGCATTGCACAACTTCTGGGGGACCATTCACATTGCAGCGCGTGAAAATGGCGCCTGGAAATGTGCAGCATACAGCCTGAGCAATCATTTGTGCAGCTCTGGCTAAGAGGGTGGCCACCTTTGTCCTTGGCTCCTAGAGGCAAGGCAATGAAAGTGTGTGTACATATGTGTGCACATTGGTGTATCTGATGGCCTTATGCCTATGATTCCTTTCTACAACTATTTTTTTATCTCAGTATATCTGGAAGATAAGCCTCAATAGATTATTTTGTGAGAGTAACTCAAGAGACTACTACTGGGACTGCTGGTTTCCTTCTATCAAGATATGATAAAGTGTCCTAATTCCTGTCTTTGAAAATCAAACAGCACCCAAGTTCACTGGCCAAAAGACTGTATCAAATGAGCACAGGGCTCTGTCCAGAGTGTAGAACTGGAGTTTCCAAACCTAGCAAACTTGGCTGCCTATCAAACATACTAATGCAAAATCTTGGACAATATAACCTAGAAATCTGTAGTGTTACATGTTTCCTAGGTCATTCTGTCTTAGCCAGTTTCTACTGACATTTAGGAATACTCCATTCATCTAAGAGGACATAGAGCTATTCACGCCAAACATTAAGTCTCAATTCTGTCCTGCAGTGTTCTTAGGAGTATTTGGTCAATGCTTAGAACTCTCAGATCTGATCAGTTCAGCAATTAGATTTCCTCAAGGCTGCCTTCGTTGAGAATGGACAAGAGACAGTGGGACACATAGGGTAAGAGGACCCCAGAGCACACAGACCAAACTTCCTTGGGTGAGATCTAGATCTACAGAGGTAGGCACTCCATGTGTCGACCCTGGGAATGGTAGCCACCACATAGCTTTTGTTTCCTCACTTGTTTGGATATAGCCAAAGTAATGGCAAGGCTTACTACACTGGTCTGTCCTGGTGGTGCAGAGGCACACAGAGCATGCTGTCGGAAAGACGGTTCTGTTGGAGAAACCCTCTCTGCCCTTCAAATAAGCATAGTTAATTGGGAACAAATGGTTTTCTCTTCCTACTTTTTCTTCCTTTCCACTTGTTTAGCATTAAATGAAAACTGACACAGAGAGAGAAAGAATGTGCGGGAGAGGAAGGGAGCCCCTCGGTGCTCTAAGAGAGCTTTCCGTTAGGGAGGACAGAAGGCCTGGAGACAGACAAAGGAGAGGCCAAAATTTCTAAGACCTTTAAATCCTTTTTTTCCAACTTTATATTTGTTCATATAAATACACACACACACACACACACACACACACACACACACACAATGACATTTTTCCAGGAGAAGTAAGTTTAAAATTGAATATTAAGAGAAGACATATCATAGAGGAGGCAACTGCAATGTAAACCATTTCTAATAAGAGGTTAGAGTTGTCAACCCCAATTTATTTACTGTGGCATTAAATAGAGCTGGAAATAAGATAACTGTATGAGACTTTTATAGAGACTTTTAGCATCAGCCTATATGGCCATCTTTCTCATTCACTCCCCCCAGTTGCTTCCCAGAGTCATGGTCATTATCATATTTACTCTGAAAATGACTGGGCTGGTTCTGCAACCATTACTGAACAACCAGTCCCATGGAGGGGCTAAGGAAGTTCAAACAACCACAGAAAGAGCCAAATTTTTTAAACTTAAACTACATAGGTAGGTACATTGTTATTAACTTAATTAGGGTACTCCTAAGCTGGCCTTTGCTAAAAACGCCCTCAATCTGATTGAGGTATGTTCGCTGAGGTCAGGGCTTGTTTGACTTAAAAAAAAAATTCACTCTCTTAAAAGTTGCCCAGAGCTCTTATGAACTGATGCAATAAGAAAAGCTACTTACCTAGTAATCTATTTGTAGTCTTTTTTTCTCTGAACCAGATTAAAAAATATATATTTAGAACATAGAATTATGGGAAGCAGACTGACATCTTAGTTAAGAACACAGGATTCTCCTCTCCCTTCTCCTCCTCTCCCTTCTCCTCCTCTCTCTTCTCCATGCCATATGACCAGAATCGAACCTGGGACCCTTCAGTCCACAGGCTAATGCTCTATCCACTGAACCAACATTCTATCCACTGAGCCAAACCAGTCAGGGCTCTTCTCCTCTGTTCTTTTTCCCTAGAAGAAGGAAAGGAGAAAGGCAGAGAGTTTTGAATCGTACCAAAAGGAGGGAAAAAGAACTCTACATGGACACAGAGCAGTCCAAGTAAGACCCCAGAGGCTTGAAATAGTGTACAAGTTGGGGAATTATGATGTGTTCCAATCACAAAGTGAAAGAAAAGATGGAAGGAGATGAGGTTGGAGAAAGGGGTCCCAGGCTGTCCTCACATGGAAGTCATTACAAAGCCTCTCTTTCCCACACTCCCTCCTCACTCTCTTTCTCCCTTTCACCAGGTTCATCTATTTGCTTTAAAATAACCCCTCAATTGAAAATTGAAAATAATTCAGGAAGGAAGACTTGCAACATAAATGGCATCTGTGAATGCTCTGGAAATTAACCCATTATATACATCATTCTTTTTGAGGTGGTTTTATCTTCCTTCTAAAGAGCCCTGACTGGTTTGGCTCAGTGGATAGAGCGTTGGCCTGTGGACTGAAGGGTCCCAGGTTCGATTCTGGTCAAGGGCATGTACTCTAGGAGAGTCCTTCTAATTACCTTTTCCAGTCTGTGCGAGGTACCCTACCCTGGGGCCCAGTGCTATCCTGTGCTTATCTCTGTCATGGTTCTAGTCATATTGGATGGAAATAATCACTCTGATCCTCTTTTCTAATTAGAGTGGTTCTCAACCTTCCTAATGCCGCGACCCTTTAATACAGTTCCTCACGTTGTGGTGACCCCCAACCATAAAATTATTTTCGTTGCTACTTCATAACTGTAATTTTTCTACTGTTATGAATCGTAATGTAAATATCTGATATGCAGGATGTATTTTCATTGTTCGCGACCCACAGGTTGAGAACTGCTGGTCAATAGAGGATCCAGAAACTGACCCAAGCCATTATACTCAATTAATATTTGACAAAGGAGGCAAGAGCATACAATAGAGTAAAAACAGCCTCTTTAATAAATGGTGCTGGGAAATTTGGTAAAATACATGCAAAAAAATGAAACTAGATCACCAACTTACACCATACACAAAAACAAACTCAAAATGGCTAAAGGACTTGAATGTAAGACGGGAAACCATAAAAACCCTACAAGACTCCATAGACAGCAAAATTGCAGATATATGTCGTAGCAATATCTTTACAGACACAGATCCTAGAGCAAGAGAGACTAAGGAGAAAATAAACAAATGGGACTACATCAAAATAAAAAGCTTCTGCACAGCAAAAGAAATCATCAACAAAACAACAAGAAAGCCCACTGCATGGGAGAACATATTTGCCAATATTATCTTCAATAAGGGTTTAATCTCCAACATTTACAGAAACTGATACAACTTAACAAAAAGAAGATAACCCAATCAAAAAATGGGCAAAGGCCCTAAATAGACACTTTTCGAAAGAGGACATTCAGAAAGCCACGAGACACATGAAAACATGCTCAAAGTCACTAATCATCCGAGAGATGCAAATCAAAACAACAATGAATTACCACCTTACACCTGTCAGAATGGCTATCATCAACAAATCAACAAATGACAAGTGCTGGAGAGGATTCGGAGAAAAAGGACCCCCAGTCTAAGTGTATTTCAGAGCAGAATCCTCCTGAATGCAGGAGAAGTGAACGAGAGTCCTAAACAGGGGGGTGCTGTATGAACCGAAAATTCTCTAAACCCTGTCACTGTGTGCATTCATACCGTGATGGTCCACCATCAGGAAGGGCTAAAACCTCAATGAATG